CATCGTTCAGCTGAACAGTTGTATTATCAATGTCAAAAACCCCAAATTTGAGTTTCTGAACTAGTTCAAAATAGTAATCAATCTGGAATTTCTTGGAAAATTTAGGGTTCAAACTGTTTTTGATTCTTTCTGTGCGATCAACCTGCAATACAGTAGAGTGGTTTATCACTATTTTTTATTTCTCAAACTTCTGTTTGAGCATTCTGAAAAATGCACTCTCCCCAAGAAAATTAAATAAAATAAGGGTAAATATGCAATCCTATACCGGTTTATATTAGTATGGAGGAAGGAGTTATAAATATATTTGCCTCCCTGAATTATTTATAAAGTAATAAAGCAGGGATCAAATAATAAAATGAAATGTATAAATCTTAGTAAGTATAAACAGATTTGCACAGAATTATGTTGAAACTTTTGTAAAATATAAACAGAACATTTTAGGCATGAAGAAATCTTTAAAAAAAATCTTTACAATGATAGAATGCTGACAGATTTTCCTTTGCAGATTGCTAAACCGTAGTTTACAAAAAAAAAAAAAAACCACCCTTCATTAATCGAATACATAAAAGTTAATATAGTAACACAATAACACATTATACAAATATAATTTTATATTAAATAATTAAATGCCAGTTGTTTATTTTGACTGAACTTACTTTCAAATAAATATGAAATGATTACACCACTGTTTTTCATATTTTTCAGAAGCATTTGAAATATTATGCAAAGTCTTTTAACACAAAATGCAATTTTAGAAAAACCAGAAACTATGCACTTTTAAACTTATTAATTCTTTGCCCAAGACACTGCAAAGCTACCAAGGAACACCTATTCAATTACAAAAAGTCCTCAATTTATAACCACTTATTCAGCAGTGGTTTGAAATTATGGCAGTCATTTTGGCCCACAGCATGTTGTGCTTTATGACCACATAGCTTCCTAATTGTAGTCATAGGTCAAGGACTATTTTTAATGGGACTTCCTTCTCCTTTTAACTATGTGTCATGCACCTTCCATCTCTCGAAAAGACACTCAATCCTCCGGAAAAGATTTGCAAGACACCTGGCATAAGAACTACTATTCTGTTTTTGTGTCAGACTGGCAAAGTGGGATGCAATCCTATATGTGAACATTTAAACAGTAAAATGAATTTTCTAATAAAAGGAAAAAGAAACAGAGCTCTTCTTACACTGCTTGAATATGTAGAAACTGCCATTTGAAATGGTTAATGGTGCATTTTTGTTTAAAAACAAAGTAGTCCTAATACCTAAGGTAAAGTCAAAAGAGGAGATCCTGAACTTACTATTTCCCAATAACAAAGCAATCAGACTGTATTAATAGCAATAGGACTTAGACTTATATACCGCTTCACAGTGCTTTCCACCCCTTTCTAAGCAGTTTAGAGTCAGCATATTGCCACCAACAATCTGGATCCTCATTTCACCGACCTCCCAATGGTCACTGTAACATACCTCGTACCACTGCTGTCCACTTGTGTATTGAAGTAGCACACAAAGTGGGTCTGACTTGGAGCTAATATCTCTATCCAGGAGATTGTTACAAGAAACAGTCAACTCCACCTTTGTTACACACTGCGCCGCCATCTGCAACATGGGATGGGAAAATCAATTATCATGTGTACCATGCATATATCAATAATCTATTAGCTTATTTAATAAGTTGTACCCATATGTAATTTTTGAAACTACCGTGTATCCTTCCAGCTGTTACTGTACTTAATGTCACTTAATCATGTATTTATTTAGACTTTAATATATCATCCAATGTTATCCACTGCTTTCTTATAGTGTCTAAATATTTACTCTTGCTTTCAATCAAGCACTTTGTGCAAATATTAAAACAGATATGGTTAATATATGAATTTTATATTTTCAGAAACAAGGGATCAACACATCTTTACTTTCTATGTAACTTGAAAACCACACATTTTATGCAATGTAATCTAATCTAGCAAAGTTTGCTATCTAGTGTCACAATCCTTAAGGATGTCATCAAACTCATACATTCAGTAGTTTTAATGTTTAGTCAACTGTTTCTTATCCTGCTTTGAACCATTTCCAATTATTTATCAAATCTACATCCTATCAAATTTTAAGTATCTCATAGAGAATCCTTCATAACAATGTGTCAGACAGAAAAAAGAAACACACAATGAATACAACCAGTAAAAGTGACTGGAAACTTCTTCCAGACTTTTTACATGAAATAAAGAAAAAGTTAAATTGACATATGGTTTTGACAATCAGGAAAAAAAAAAATTATAGAAAAAATATAAACTTTGTAACTGACAGCCAATTTGGTATAATGGTTATGGTGCTGGCCTAGAAACCAGGAGACTGAGTTTTAGTCTAGGCCTAGGCATGAAAGCTATGAAGGTGATAGTTTGGGCCAGCCGGGGTGGGATTCAACCGGCATTACTACCGGTTCGGTAGTTATGTTTTGCGTGCACATGCACACTTTGCACACCAGACAGGCGCTGTGCATGCATGTAATACACCATAAGCTGTGCCACCTGGACAGCTGATAAGCACTGCGTGCAGGTGCGCATTTCAAAAAACACTTTACTGCTTTTTCAAGCTCAGCTGTGCCACGCAAAGCAGCGAAGGTTGAAAAAGCAGGAAATAAAGGTCAAGTAACAGCCCAGGCGGGCGGGCGGGCGAAACAGCAGCAGACACAAAACCAGTTCGGTGTCTGCTGTTCTTCAGAGCTACTGGTTCTATAGAGCCGGGCAGAACAGGTTGCATCCCACCCCTGGGGCCAATTCACTTTGCTAGGTTGTTGTAAAATAGGAGAAAAGATTATTATATATGCTTGCTACTTTGAGTTATTTCTAGAGCAATAAAGGCATGATGAACATCTGTATAAAGTACTGTAATAGGAAAATGTACATTTTCACTTATAACTACTACAAAGAAAATTGAAACATGCTTCTGTCTATATTTTTTCTTTCCTTCTTGCACTTTTGTCTTTTTCTATTAGTTCTTGCTGGTTATTTAAAAAACTTTATTAATGTTATACACACATCACACAACCAGTAAACTAGTTAAAGAAGCTAAGCTTCAGGGGCTGCACAGTCATTCTTAAGGGCCTTCCAAAAGAGTTCATTCTTCAAAATCTCCTGGAATACAATTATGGAAGAGAGCAACATAGCTTTCAGAGAAAGGGAGTGTGATAAAAAACAACAACTTTCTTTGTATCCCCCTTCTCTTATGAACCTGGGATAGCATAGGCAATCTTTCACAAAGAAGAAAACATAGAAAATCTGTGGGCTGTTTTGTGATAATAGTTACTCCTACTAAATGTAAGACTAAGGGGAAAAATACAATACTGCACCAGCACATTAGTGCAAAGATAACACTGGGTCCCATAATGTCATGTGATGATCTAAACCAGAGGTTCTCAAATAGCAAATCACAAAGATAATATCTGTAAGCATAATATCCTTTTCAGAAAAAAATGCAACCTTGTACTTCTGAGGGAGCCAGTTAGGTGTAGTGGTTAAGGCATGAAGCTAGAAACCCAGACCTTTAGTCCTGCCTTAGGCAGCAAGCCAGTTGGGTGACTTTGGACCAGCCATTCCCTCTCAGCCCTAGGAAGCAGGAAATGGCAAACCAATTCCAAAATCTTGCTAAGAAAATTGCAGAATCTTAAATTGCAGAATCTTATCCAGGCAGTCACCAGGAGCCAACAATGACTTGAAGGCACACATGCTTCCACAAACCTCTGAACGAAACAGAAGAGTAAATAGCCAAATAGGTTTTCTAACATAGGTTAGAAAATAGGTTTTCTAATAGGTTTCTAACAGTGAGCTCCAACTTCTTAAAAGAAATCAGCAGGATCCGAACAGTGCTAAACTTTCTCCTTCTTACCCTTTCTCTTGTCACAGCCTGCACAGGTAAAGCATTAAGTGGACCTAGCATACCATTCATTGCCTTTGATTTCTCCACACATGTCCCAGGAGCCACACCTTATTGGCAGTTTTTTTTCTCCAAAATAATCTCCAAGACAGATACTAATTCGCCCACGAATTGTCTCCCGGCCTGCAATCTACCTCCAATGCATTACTGATATTAAGGATCAATAACGATCAACCTATTTATATAAACTTTCTTTTCTGCAGTTATTCTGCCACTCACCCAAACGAACCCTTTCCGTCTTTTTATCCCTCTGCTCCCCCCCACGCCTCTCCGGGATCCACTGCCTTCTACCTCGACTAGTGTTGCTCAAACTTCAAGGTCCACCATCCCCCGACCAGCCCGACCGAAAAGTTCGACCCATCGTGAAGGAATACTCGCCGCTGTACCGACCTCGAGAGATCACAACAGCCTCCGTAAGCAGCGATCCTTCTTCTCCGGCCTCGCCCAGTTTCTGTTCCACGAAGCAAGGCAATACAATGCAACGCAATGCGAGCAGCAGCGGTAAGGCCACTCAGGTATTTAAAGGGACGGCGCTCCTGCTGACCCCCCCCCTCGCTCCCAATTGTGTAATCCGAGCAATTCTCCCAACGTGGTAAAACAGCCAGTTGTTGGCACCCAAAGGCGCATGCGCTCTGCTTTCCGTCTGTAAACCACCGTAAAGGTGGTGTGTTTGTGGTTTTTTTTTTTTTTTTTTTTTAAGATTCCTAGACTAACCAAAATTTTGTGGGATGCTCCTCTTCTCCTTGAAAATGATCGGGATCACGTGATAGAACTCTGGCAACTCGGCTTCTCCGCGCGTGAGAAGTCAATGCAATGAAGTCTTTTTCAAACTGGGTAACTTTTAAGATTTGTAGACTTCAACTCCCAGAATTCCCTTGCCAGTTTAAAAAAAAAAAAACACTAAGTACGCAGGGAAGAGCCAAGAGTGGCGGTAAGATGCTTGAGAAATCGCGGTTGTCACAGCGGTTGCCAAGGAAGAGCGGAATGAATGCAACTCGGATCTTGTTCCCTGCGGACTTTTTCAGAAGGGAACATGGAGGTTTTCCGGTGAATTCCGGTAGATCAGAGACATGCGAAAAGCCTGTGGAGGCGTTGAACAGGCAGTTCCTGTTTCCGGCATATCCGAGGAAAGGGTGATGGGAGGAGGCGGAGGGGCGGAAAAAAAAATAACAAGGAAAGCTTTTTGTCATGGCGCTGGGGAAGGTGGCAGTGCGACCTTGGTTTCGAAGTTGCTCTTTCCTGGAGACCCGTTTCTTTTGCGAGGCTCCAAGAATAAAATCCGGCTGCAGCCGTCAACTTTCTTCAGGCCATGGAGGAATAAGGGGAGTCGAGGTAAGACTGGGATAGGAGAAAATGATGGTCTTGGTCTGATTGAAAAGCATGGCTCTCTTAAATGTTCTTTGTAATTTGCCTTCGTCTTCTCCCCAGCATGAATCATTCCACAGGTCTCCAAACTTGGCTAAGACTTGTGGACTTGTGGAATTGAAGTCCTTAAGTCTTAAGTTTGGGGACCCCTGAATTATTCCTGCATCTTTAAGCCTATGAAGATAAGCTGCTATAGTCTTCTTCGAGCTTCCTAATTTGCTGAATAGGAAAAATTAGGATAATAGACCTGTGGTTTTTCTTTGAGAAAAATGTGTGACGTTTTGGGAATGTCTGGAGATTCTCAATCCTCCAGGTCATGGTTGTCCCAAAGATGCTTTTTCAAGAGGCAACTGAACTTCCTAGTTTTCTTTGAAGACGTTTGAAAGCTGAAGAAGCTTCTTGGATGAGAAGCAAAACGTCTTCAAAGAAAAACCAGAAAGTCCAGTTGCTTCTTGAAAAAGCAACTTAAGGGGAATTGGGGAATGTATGATTTACTGACAAAACAGATCATAAAGAGACATAAAATAGTTCTTACTGACGTGGTGCTTCCAAGTTGTTCTTAATGTCTGTGTTTTATTCTTGTAGTATTTTGCTCTTGGACAAATATCCCCAGAGAGAGAGAGAGAGAGACGGAGAGAGAGAGATATTTTAAAGTGTGTAATTAGAATGTCTGCTTAGCATTAAATACCTATTTTTCGTGCATACTAACAGGAAAATGTACACTGAAGCTTGAGCTTTTTAAATTTACAATATTTTGCTTCCTTGTAAACAAGATGCCCTGATAAAATGGTCACAACTGAGAGAGAACCAAAGGTAGCACTGAATAATTTGAGGGGCAGAAATACAGAGTTTATCAACAGATTGAACTAAGGAGTAGTGACGTACAATAGGTAGCTTTTGACATACTGAAAAATTCCACATTTAGCCACTTTGTGGTGCTTAGATAAAAATATTGTTATCAGATTTGTAAATAGCTGTTGATTTTTTTATTAGGTGTTTGAAAAATTCAAAATTTTCAGAAGAGGGTTTATATTTTCAGCATTGTCCTACCTCGGATACAACACTTATCTAGTAATCTCTCGGTCTGCTATGGTTCTTGCTGATGTGAAAAGTAAGTTTTTTTTTAAATAAAAATGTACAGTTGTCAAATCCAATCCTCCATCCCTAAAATGTAATCTGATTTTTTTATTAGAGGAAGGATTAGGTATGGCTGCTTATAAGAGATACAGCTTGTTTTCACTCTGTGTTATTCATTTATAAATCACACAACTCACTAGAACTCTAGTGGCATACATATTATATAATACAATTATATAATACAAAACAAATGTGGTAACCAGGGAAATAACTTACCCAGTAGAAAGCACACACTCAGGTGACCCTAGTCTACCTAACCTAAGGCCTGGAGGAAAAAACCAGGTCTTCAGTATCCAATAAAAGGATAGTAAGGTTAAAGTTATGTGATCCTATGGGAAATATAAAGTGGAAGAGGGTATTGGATGGTTCTGAGGCCTAGCACTGAGGTGACTCAATGTAAAAAAAATCCATTTATTCAGCCTTGCAAATATTTAGATACTGATTTTGTTTTCTAAAATGAATAAAGGGAATATCAGCCTGATATTTCATTCTTTCAATCAGTATTTTAAAACCCTGGTTTTAAAGGTTTAAGGAATCCATTTCACCTGTCATACCCTATACAGAAGAGGATAGTTGGAAAATATTGGTTCCATCTTTAGGAGATCTTGGAAACTGCAAATAATGTTGCAGATTATAATTTTGTATGTTTTCCATGAGAGCTCTTAAACAACCTTGAAGCTCAGGAAATGTTATATGTTTAAAATAATCAAATAGAAGGACTTTACTTAGAAAAATATTGATGAGATGGAAGTTCTGCCATAAGATGATTATTGAGATGAAGATTGGCATGGGTATCTATTGTATAAAGAATTTGCTGCTGATGAATATAAAATGGATTTTACATATTTTATTTGTTTACAGAATTTATATTTTTATAAATACATATATAAAATATTTAACATATTAACATATTCCTTCTCTGGCTGACTTTGTCCTTTTATATATCATCTAATACTTATATGACCTATATCCTTTGGGTTATTTGTGCCAGTAAAATTGTTGACTCGTGACTTGTCTAACTTATCTAAGAGCAGGTAAATTGGGAAAGATTAAACTAGATCAGTGTTTTATATTGTAATATATCTCTTTGACACTGGCTGAAAAAGAGGGGTAGTTGTTGGAAACACTTTCTGTTAATAGACTCAGCCTAACAGTACCTTATAGAATTGTTGATAGAAAGAAAGAAATGTGTTTTGACTATCATGATACTACTTCTATTAAAACTGTCTTCTATTCCAGACTTATAATATTAGTATGTCTGTATACAATTACATGAATTGTTTTTTTATTAAGTAATACCTGCTTCACAGAAGGGCAGATTCATTGAATTCTTGTTTTATTATATCATAAGTTGATGAAATCATACATCAAGCAGATTATCTCTATGGAAGTGGAGAAACCGAAAAGCTTTATCAGTTGCTGAGTGAACACAAAAACAGGTACACTATGATATTTCAGCATGGTCTAGTGGGCTGAGGTTGGCATAGAGCACACAGCGATGATACAAAATCACTGGTACACGGAAGGGTTGAAATCAGTATTTTAGAATGTAGTGGACCTTTTGAGTCCCTTTACTCTCATTTAAAAAACAATTTTTTCTTCTAATTGATTTCAATGTAAAACACTCAAAATGAAATAATAACACATCAGTACACGACACTGTAATAATAATTAGCAATAAAACAGTTTGAAGTTTTAAGATCAATTTTTTAAATGCATTTAGGAGATTGGGAATGTACGGTTCATAAAAACTTTCTCTGTTGGGTAAATTTGAATGTCCCCAAAGTTTAATTTCTGGAGATGATTACTCTTGTAGAGTTCCTCTACTCTCACTAGATACAGTTTGTTGCAAAATACTCAATTAATATTATTATAGTCTCATGCAGTGATGTGTTATTATTAAGCTGTCTTTATATTGTTTTATATAAAGTTCTTCCATAGAATTATTGTTTAGTAGTTAAAAAGTATATTAAAAATGTCTTTACATTGATACCTTACTACAGTACATCATAATCAATATATCCTGTTATATATGTTAATATGTAGTGAAAATGCACAAGTATTGTGGCGTCTGGCACGAGCTTTACGAGACCTTGCTCAACTTAGTCACACTTCACCAGAAAAAAAGAAGCAGCTGGCTTATGAAGCCCTTGGTTATGCAAAGAAGGCACTAGAGAAGGACAGCAATTGTTATTGTGTACACAAGGTCAGATAAACAAATAATTTACATTTTGTAGTGGCTCATTTCTGAGTTTAAGAATTTGAAAGGAAAATTACAACAATTCCTTCATATCTTAAATGACAAACTCATATTCAATTCATTTAATTAGTATACAGCAATTATAACTTCAAACCAGCCTACCAAATGAATTGAGACCACACAGATCCAGAAACTATAGCTGCAATTATATTTCTGTATTTCAATAATCAGCATTATTCCCTTTATATCTGCGTATATTAATTTTGCCTTTCTCTCTTCCCTAACATATAGCTACCCCTTTTCTTTTTTTCATCAGCTAAAGTCATATATAATTTTCCTAATTTAGGGTATTCTAAATACTTCTTATCTTGTATTTTAATGTGTATTTCCTGGAGACATATTACATCTACTTTTTGTTTCTCTAATTTATCAGACTTTTGCTTTCTTTTGGCCAGGGAATTTAGTCCATTGATATTTATTGAAATTAATTTGATTTCTTCTCCCATTCTTCTATTGTCTTTGTCTTGTAGCCCTTCTTTGTGTTCTTGGTCTTAAGTCATCTTCCTGTTGTTCTTTTTCTTCCTTCCTTTTTTCTTTGTGTTCTCCTTCTTTTGGTTCCTGTTGTTGCTCTTCCTGGCTTACGGACTCTAATTCTTCTCTGCTGCTCTGTTCTTCTACTCCCACTAGTTTATCGTATAAGTCTTGTGCTTTCTCAAGGTTGTCTACTTTGATTTGCTTCTCTTGTCACGACACTAGCATCCCTTCTGGTACTAACCATCTGAATAACGTATTCCTTTTAGTCAATGGTGTCGCCAGGAATCGTCCTTCCTCTGTTCTCTCACCCATCTTGGAATCTGTTTCAGGGTTATTATCTCTTTTACTTTGTACATCGTCAGTTCGTCCCTCGTTATTTTATATGTCTTGCACTTTTTTTCTCTCGAACCTTATATGCACTTCCCTCGGTAATCTATGCCTTTTGGCATAATTCGTATGCACTCTGTAAACATCATCCAATTTGTTTAGAATTTCGTGCTTATCTCTTTGCAGAGCCTCTGCTATTATTGTCATCTCAAGATCCTCTTCTTTTGTCTCTGCAACATTCTGAAATCTTGAGATAGAAGGCTGTGTGGTCCATCTCCATATGGATGAGAGAATCTCCTAGATCTTTGTTTAACTCGTAATTTTCCGATCTCTTAGTTCAAGTTTCTTCTCAGTTTGTTCTATTCTTGTTTCCACAGTTTTTATTGTTTGTTCATTTTTTTTCTATTGCCTGTTGAATTGAGCTCATTTTCTCATCTAATTTGTGTATATCACACTTAATTTAACTCATCTCTGTTTTCCCATGATTTTTGGACATAGTTTCTTGTAGTTTGATTATTGTTTCCTGAATTACTAAGAAGTGGTTTGCATGTATTGTGTGTTTGATGTTGTATTTTGTTTTTCCGTTGTAAGCATTCCTTCAATTGATCTTTGGGTCACTGGTAAAGCCATCGACATTGATGGGTTTTTTCCCCCCAGCTTTCAGGGTTGTTGTGGTTGTACTCATCATTTCTTTTAGTATTTTGTTCTGTTCTTTCAAGATTCTAAATAAGTTATCCCAAATTAACATTCAATAATTTAAATATTTTTTTTAAGTTTTAGATTGTACTTAATTTAAATTTTCTTCACACCACTCTATGTTTATGCTCAAACCAGATTTTCTAACTTTTCACTATTCAACTTATCTGTATTTCCCAATATAACTTCTTAATCACCTCTTACTCCTCTTCCAAAAGATCCAAATTCATTAGTAAGATATTCATTTATAATACACTTATACACTTATAGAGCAATCAATTAATTATCTATATTATTTCTTACTATGTGTTAATTTATACTTATAAAAATTCACTCTATTATTTAACCCAAGAACCATATAAGACACAGTTATTATCCAGTCTAATATCCAAATTTAACTAATATAATGGAGATTAATAATATGTAAAATATATAATAAATACCTAATAGAATCTACCACCTTAAACACTTACCTCTCTCTCTCTCTCTCTCTCTCTCTCTCTATATATATATATATATATATAATTTTTTCCCAAAAAAATTCATCAATCAACAGGTTAAACTTACACACTCTATTTCAGCTATTTGACAAATCCATTAATTCATTAAGATATTTCTATATTAATGTGTATCTAAAATATGTAAAAAATACTATAAATCTTTTCAAATAGGTTAATCTCTTATTTGTACAACAATATGGTATAAAAATATTTCATTAAACACCTCAATTAATTATTCTTCTCATTAATTGTCAGTTAAACCTTTACTGTACAGCACTGTTTGTTCTATTCTATGAAGACTCGGCAATTTCTGTTGCATCAGCCAATTCCATTTTTCTTTCTTCTGCTCTTCTCTGTCTTTTATGCCACTGAGGGAGAAGCAAACAGTTCCTCAAGTTTCTTATACCCCAAAAAGCTAAGTTCTTCCTCACTCGAGTCAAGGTATCTTCAATATGTCCACTTAATCCTCTTGTAAAAGTTTAAATGACTTGGACAAATCCTTCGCTTCCAAGCCTTGCTGTCACCACCACCGAATCACCGCCTTTTTATTGAGCTCACGCCCTTCGTTGCAGTGGGTGGTCGCCCTCCACCTCGCTGCTCCCGGGCTTCCCTATTTCACCACAGATCCCTCCGAGATTTGTGTGCCCTCTGAGGCACCTCCCAATGTGAAAAATCGGTGATGAAGAGCGGAGCCCGTTCTTCCTTCCCTGCACCGCCGCAATGTCACCACTGGAAGTCTCCAGCTGCAATAATATTTCTATTGACTAGATCTCTTTAAAGTAGATACAGTATTGAAAATATTGCAACTAGTGATAAATACCAAGATATATTTAAAGGCAAACAATGCAGAAGTAGCTGCATGATCCCAAATAAAGATTAAGTTGCTTTAAAAGATGAAGATACATCTAACTTAGGTGTCTGCATGGTCTGGAGCACTCTTTTACTTTTAAAGCACAAATGTTGCATAGTGTAAGATAACTCATAGAAGTGTAAGTGAACTAAGTTGTTGCCAGTTTTGAGTTCAAATTTTAATTTTAAAAGCCTAGAATGGCTTAGACAGTTATAGCTAGTCATGTCCTGTTTGAGTATGAACCTATCTAGACATTAACATAGAATTTCTTTTAAATGTCTTTTTTCAGAGCCCTGTCTGAATGTAGGATGTGGGAAAGGTTCTTCACTCTTCCAAAATTATTCTCTCAGGACTTTTATGTAATCTCAGCTTGGTTTAAAACCTCCTTCAGCTTGACCTTGTAAGAAATTGTATGTCATTAGTTTAGTTCTAACTTTAGAACTTTTAGACAGTTAATCACCTAGCATTCCCTGTTGTCTGAAGCTTAAAATAACAAATCTTTGTGTAGTATGGTTAGAAATGTATTTATTGACAATACGATAATCCCTAAATATTTCATATTGCTAAATAATCTATTTCATTCTTTTTATTAGTGGTATGCAATATGCCTCAGTGATGTGGGAGACTATGAAGGAATAAAGAACAAAATCTCCAGTGCTTTTGTTATTAAGGAACATTTTCAGGTATTTAAAAGTATTAATTTTTGTATTAACCTTGTGTTCTCGCCACACAAACCTGAACATGAGGGAAGAGCAATTTATGATGAAGAGTAAATTAGAAATGGAAGTGTATTTAATTGTATTAGATATGAATCATTGGACTCTCATTGTTTTCATTAATAGAGAATGCTTAAAATATTTTAATAGATTTTGTCTAACATATACAAAAATACATTTCTGTAAGAAAAATATTACAAAAATTGTAACATTTTTGAAGCCTACATTGGATACATTTAAATATTAAGGAATAAAAGAAGAGTAATTTGTTGTCTCTGAAAAGTCATGGTCAGCATGAATTTAGAATGAGAGTTCTTCATGTTTCAAAAGTCTTGCCATTCTTTTTTCAGAGGTGGTAATTTATGTTTGCTGCATGCTTCTTGAGGGACACAGTTCTAGTCCCAGGAACTTGAAGACTTCTGTACCTCTACCATGTTGGATTTTGCATTTTTATCTTTTTCAGTGTAGTTAATAAATTTTTGTTTAAGGAGGTGTTGAAATAACAAACATAAACAGCAGTTTAAACTTTTCTGTCATTATGTGAAGGAGGAAATTAATATTTATTTAATTAACTTCTAAAATATAGATCAGAAAAGGCAAACTAACTCATCTCAATTTATTTCAGTTTATTTGGCCATTTTTTTCTTCTTTAATCCATGCTTTAAATGCTGTTTGTGTATGGCTTGCGTTCTGTTCACTGTAGCATGGCCATATTACACATTTTAAGAATTCACTATTTCTAATGGTCTTGACCTTTTCCTGCATTGTTAAAAAAACTTTTGTGGTCCATTTCTCTTAATGTACGCAATAGTTAAAGTAAACTCCATGAGATAGGAAATTACCTATGTCTTTGTTAATAAGCTCCGACGTGAATAAATAAGTTAGGTACAAAATGGAACAATTTGTCTCAATTTTAATCCTGGATGAAAATAATAAACCACACTTTCTTTTAGAAGATGCACTTCTGGAGAATACACAAACTACCCTGAAATATTTGAATTAGGTTGTTGAAAGGTCAGGTATAAATCCTCGAGAGCACCTGTTGAATGTTACACATCCCTGATTATAATTTCTTCAGAGTTTTCTTTTTCCTTCAACTACATGTTTCAGGATATTTGTGTTTTCAAATATAGTTTTGTGAGCTTGAACAGAATAAGTTGGATGCTACCAGACTTAATGTTAGCTTTTAACCATCAGGATGTAAATCTGATCCATACAAGCCACAGACATGTGGACTAAATATGAAGGGTATTTCTCCCTAAACTATATGAAGTTCATTACTTTTTTCAGACAAAAAAATGCAATGATGTAATTTCATTGTTGCTGGGGATTAGCGGGAAGATAGGAGTTATGGAGGTAAATATTAAACAATGATAAATGCTTTTTTTTTTAACAGAAAGCAATTGATCTGAATCCAAAGGATGCTACTTCACTTCATCTTATGGGCATTTGGTAAGACAATCTTTCTAAACAAAATTATATTTGAAATGCCAATGTTTTTGCCTGACATGTGGAATGTGAAGTAATTGCATTATGCTTTTACGATTTAGCAATAAGTTTCTGAACAAATGAACTACCCTATCAGCATTGTCTTACATAACATTATATATAAATTTCAGCAATATGTCTACACTAGTTTTGTTTTAAAAACATTGTATTTGCATTTGATCTATCCTCATTTCCTTCTTATTAAACACCAAACTTACCCCTCTCCACTCTACTCTGTTAAGCATATTGATTTTAGTGGTTTCTCAGTTTCTCAATCATTATTTAGAAGATACGTCAAGGATAAATTTACTTTTTGTATATCTGATCGCTGAATAATTTAATTCAAGGATAAGCAACATATGGTTCTTTTGATATTTTATTGATTATGTGCTCTGAACTCAGTGACAACTCAACAACCAGATAGATTTTCTCCATGACAATCTCCCTCAATTGGCCCTTCAGGTCTTAGCGGTACATTCATTCCCACTGTAACTTTGTCCATTGATCGTGCCTTCAGTGATTACTAAATTTCAACTTTTGCTTGCCTTAACTAACATGACAATCATAAGAGATCAGGGACTTGTATATGATACCATAGTATTTGAAGGATCATATATTTCCCCATTCCAGTTTTTGCTTAATGGTAAAGATTGCATTTATGATTCATTAATATTTACATTCCTGATCAACTATCATAAGTCTTGTCTCTCTAGGTAATTTATTGACTGATTTATATCTTGGGTGGCAATGTTTTGCTCAAACCTTTTTTTAAAAAAGGCCTTTCTTTCCTATTGTTGAGATTCTCCAAACTAGGTAACACCACATCTTAAAGATTTGCAAACACAGTGATGAATATTCTTGTCTTAAACAAAGGACCAAATAAGACACAATGACAGAGATACAGGCTTTGACTTGTTAGTCATATTATTAGCAGTTTCAGTATTGGCCAAGCCTTATCTGAGTAAATTGAAACTTTTACGTTACAGTTTCAACATTCTTTCATGAATGAATTTCCCCCAACTTCTCTAAGCATAGTCCTGTGCACTTCAAGTATTTTTCCCTAGACTTGCATTTGTTTTCAAAGCATTATTAGTAAGCAGATCTTAATTTATTTATTCAATTTCTATAGCTGCCCATCTCTATTCAATTGACTCCAGGAGGCAAATTACATCACAATAATTAAAACCATAAAAACAAAAATAGTTACAAATTATGTATTTGTTCCTCTTCGGCACTTTTCTTCAGCATTTCTTGAATGCTTTGATAAGTCTTATTCTAATCTCACCCAGCAACCCATAAAATTTAATTAACTCTTTAATCCATCAACCAGCCACTGTTAATTTGGACAGAACAATGATTCGGTTTTCAACTATTATTCAAATGGCTAGTCTGTTTTAGCCGCTGTTGTATGTTAACTGACAGTCTGATCTTTCATTGATCAGTTTCTTCTCTCTAATCTTGACATGTTGTGATGGAAGTTTCTAACACTCTATGCCACTGTTGAAGCTGCCCTTTTTCTTCTACTGAGAAGCTGAATTAAGTCCTATTCTTATAACTTACCAACCAAGCATAGATAGACCCAGAAGAGAATCTGTTTGACTTACTCTCCCTACTCTCAAAATCACTTCAGAATAAATATTTATATATTTATCTGACTAGCCAAGTCATAATATGTTTGGGAATCAAAAACTACACTGCTGAAAAAAATAAAGGGAACACAAAAATAAGACATCCTAGATCTGAATGAATGAAATATTCTTATTAAATACTTTGTTCATTACATAGTTGAATGTGCTGACAACAAAATCACACAAAAATTTATCAGTGGAAATCAAATTTAGCAACCCATGGAGGTCTGGATTTGGAGTTACACTCAAAATTAAAGTGGAAAAAAACACTACAGGCTGATCCAACTTTGATGTAATGTCCTTAAAACAAGTCAAAAGGAGGCTCAGTAGTGTGTGTGGCCCCCACGTGCCTGTATGACCTCCCTACAACACCTGGGCATGCTCCTGATGAGGTGGCGGATGGTCTCCTGAGGGATCTCCTCCCATACCTGGACTAAAGCATCCCCCAACTCCTGGACAGTCTGTGGTGCAACGTGGCGTTGATGGATGGAGTGAGACATGATGTCCCAGATGTGCTCAATTGGATTCAGGTCTGGGGAATGGGCGGGCCAGTCCATAGCATCAACGCCTTCATCTTGCAGGAACTGCTGACATACTCCAGCCACATGAGGTGTAGCATTGTCGTGCATTAGGAGGAACCCAGGGCCAACCGCACCAGCACATGGTCTCACAAGGGGTCTGAGGATCTCATCTCGGTACCTAATGGCAGTCAGGCTACCTCTGGCGAGCACATGGAGGGCTGTGCAGCCCCCTAAAGAAATGACACCCCACACCACTACTGACCCACTGCCAAACCGGTCATGCTGGAGGATCTTGCAGGCAATAGAATGTTCTCCACAGCATCTCCAGACCCTGTCACGTCTGTCACATGTGCTCAGTGTGAACCTTTTGAGCAGCCACATGCACATTTGTGGCCCGCTGGAGGTCATTTTGCAGGGCTCTGGCAGTGCTCCTCCTGTCCCTCCTTGCACAAAGGCAGAGGTAGCGGTCCTGATGCTGGGTTGTTGCCCTCCTATGGCCTCCTCCACATCTCCTGATGTACTGGCCTGTCTCCTGGTAGCGCCTTCATGCTCTGGACACTACGCTGACACAGCAAACCTCCTTGCCACAGCTCGCATTGATGTGCCATCCTGGATGAGCTGCACTACGTGAGCCACTTGTGTGGGTTGTAGACTCCGTCTCATGCTACCACTAGAGTGAAAGCACCGCCAGCATTCAAGTGACCAAACCATCAGCCAGAAAGCATAGGAACTGAGAAGTGGTCTGTGGTCACCACCTGCAGAACCACTCCTTTATTGGGGATGTCTTGCTAACTGCCTATGCTTTCTACCTGTTGTCTATTCTATTTACACAACAGCATGTGAAATTGATTGTCACTCAGTGTTGCTACCTAAGTGGACAGTTTGATTTCACAGAGGTGTGATTGACTTGGAGTTACATTGTGTTGTTTAAGTGTTCCCTTTATTTTTTTGAGCAGTGTAGTTTTCATAAAGAAAAAACTAGCCATTGAGGCCTTTCTACATTTAATTGGCATTTAACTTATAGCCTTCTCTAGTTGTTCTTGACAGTTATTTGGAAATATAATAGTCAGTTAGGCATACATCTTTCTAGAGTTGGGTTAAAGTTAGATTTCACTGGCCTCCTCTAGTTATGTGATTTTAAATGTGATCTTAGGAGACATAATTAATACATTTTCCATGTTACAGGTGTTACACATTTGCTGATATGCCATGGTATCAGAGGAACATAGCCGCTATTTTATTCTCAACACCACCCAGTTCTACCTATGAAGAAGTATGTGTCCCATTAGTATTTTCTATAGCTTTTTTGATGTATTATCCATTAAAACATTGAAAAAAAGGAGATTGAAAGGTCAGTCTTTATAAGCTATGAGTCTAGAGTGTCAAGCACTATATTTTTGGATAAAGCTTGAGATTCTGAAAAATAAATATATCATTTATTAAATGATTACTTATTGATTTCAATAATAATCAGCTATTTCATAAAATACATAAGATTAATTACATTTGTAAATAAATATATCCTCTTGAATATAAACTATAAAGTATATAGCATTCCCTTTTGTGTTTTCCCTTAGAAAACACAAGTTACATTGCAGTTATTGAAGTATTTTAATTTTTACTGGAAGGATTTGGATTACTTTAATGGTATTCTTCTAATCTTAATGCTAATGTCTTCTAGGCATTACAGTACTTTCAAAAGGCTGAAAATGGTAAGTTATGTGAGAAAGCATATTGCATGACAACTTAATTTTGAAATCAAAATTAAAATGTGCTAGATACTGTATGAAAGTGTAAATTATTTATAGCAGAATTCCCAGTTCCTGGCTTTGCGGAGGGGAATGATTCACACAAGTGGTTGGCAAGCATGCGTGAACACAGCTCCATTTCCACAAGCAGCATGCATATACACCTGCCGCTCACACAAATGGAGCACGCTCATGCAAGGATGGCATGGGTGCCCTTACTAGTCAATTCCATGGTCCAGTTGCAAACCCTCCACAAACCCTTTATGCGTAGGCCATGGCCCACAGGCTGGGGACCCGATTCATAGTATTATATGAAACAAGGATACGGATAAAGTTCTTAAAATTTCCTTTAGCTGTATCTAATGATATGTCTACTGAGATATTAATGTAGAATGAAAAAATTAGCATCTCAAGTCATCAGAGAGATACCCTAATTATAAATTAGACAATCCATAGTGTTTCAGAATACTGAAACTGAGTACTGAATATGCAACCTTTAAATTACACTATTTCATACATTATTTAATATTTTCAATAGGGATGCTAAAGGAATTGTATGTTAAAACCAGCTTGAGAGCACGTTATGAGTTTATGTTAGAAGCATTTCTTCATTTATTAAAATGTTCCTATTGATCATGAGATTAAAATTAACACCTTATTTATACATTGTGTTTCTCTGAAGAAAATGTGAAATGTTTTAGTCATAAACTGACATAAGAATTTGCATTATAAAAATGTATATTGAAGTGATTTTTATATTGAGGAACAGAAGGAAAGTAATTTCCATCTTAAACGTAATATAAATCAGATATATAGATTGAATACAGAATGTAAATCTAGGGGTAATGAAATAAAAACATTACAGTGCAGATAAAACCAAATACTGTATACCACCCAGCAAAAAGTACCCCATTATCTCTTTTCTATATATGTACTGAGATTATGCTTAACTTATTAAAATATTAGAAGCAAATAATTTTTACATTATAAATTAAAAACCAGAAGTTTTTTGTTTGTTTTTATTGTGTAGTTGAACCAAATTTCTATAGTAAAAACTTGCTGTTCTTGGGAAAGACATACATGAAATTAAATAATAAAAAGATGGCCCTTCTCTGGCTAACAAAAGCTAGAGATCGGCTACCACATACAGAGGAAGATAAGCAGGTAAGTTACTTCCACAGCCAGATACATATATAGATATAAAAAACACATTTTCAAGTATTCTTGTACTAGAACACATACTGAACGCACATCAGTGCTTTCTTTAGCCTCAAATTGTAACCTAAAACTGTGTTTCTTGATCTTGGTAATATATTGTTCTGCTTTCAGAACTAACCAGCCAACATATTTTCTGAGAGTAATCATCTCAGAGTCATTGTGAACTGAACAGCATCTAAATTTAATAAATTATTAATCTAAAGTAATCTTGGAAATGTATATTGAAATAAATTACAATTTTGTTATGAAATATTAGATGCTAACAGACTATCAAATGATCATAGAAATGTTCAATATGGCATAATATGAACATTGTTCTTAAGCATTGTCAATGTTTTTCATGAAAACTAAGTTTAAAAATAGATGGTTGGAATAGAGGAATTTCCTGTAGATTTCTTTCTGTCCCCTTTTTTGGGGAAAAGGATTGAATGGGTTGAAGAGGATTTCATAAATTTTGATATGGTACTCTGGTTGGATTCCACTGTACTTTGTGAGAATTTTATCCGGAAGCTTGGCTTTAATTTATAGCAGCCCTGACATAAATTTAAGCTATGATTATTGACTCAGATCTGTAACTAAGCAGAAAATTGAAACCAACTCTCTCAGTGGAAGTTCAGAGCCCAATGTTTGTTTGTTTGTTTTGTATCTTTGGATACCAATGCAATAAAAGAAAAACTCTTCATTGTTCACATTAAAAATAAATGCAGCACAAAACCCCATATAAAAATAAAAACAAGTTTGTTTGTTTTTTAAAAAAAGATGGTACTATTAAATCAAACTGGGGAAGGCTCAGCAAAAAAGCCTGGCTTTTAAGAGCTGGTGTAAAAGCAATAAAGAGAGAGCCAGTCTGATTTCCAGTGGGAGGGGACTTCACACTGCATCAGTTTCTATCTGATCTAATCCTGGAAATCAATGTCTGCGTAGAGTGGTAAACGTTTGGTGCCCTAAGCATTACTGAACTATCCAGTTTTTTCACCGTAGTCCTCTATTTTCTTAAAAAAATAATCAAAGGCAAATTAGCAGACCAGAGTGCATTAACATAACTATTTTACATGATTTACATGCTGTGTCAAATGATATTTTTTCACTTCTATTGTTTCAGGTACAAAAAGAAGCTTTGGAACTACTAAATTCTATATGACACGATTACTCAAAATATATGATGAACTAAGAAAATAAACAAAGCTAAACTGTTATATTGTGGTTCAAATTTGTATATGAAGAAAAGAATTTTAGAGAAAAATAAATTCCAGATTTTACTGACATTTCCATCTACATCTATTAATTCATCTATATACAGTACATATACATGTCCAGAATGGAGAGAGAGAAAAATCAGGAAACAGCTATGAAATTGACAAGTATTCAGAAATAATAGCTCTTAATTTTAATTCCTACTTTTCTTGTTTAAACTGTTATTTCAATGATGTTGTCATATGGAAGGATGGTTTTAGACACTTCATTTGGATAACTACACTGTTTGTTTTGGAGAATTTAGCAGGACAGAATATGCTTTTATATGTATAAGGATAATTTGTTAAGATGTTGTAAGAGGTGTGATGCACAGTGGTTAGAACGCAACCAGTTCAGTCCCGATGGGCTCAAGGTTGACTCAGCCTTCCATCCTTTCAAGGTTGGTAAAATGAGGACACAGATTGTTTGTGCCAATATACTGACTCTAAATCGTCTAGAGAGGGCTGCAAAGCACTATGAAGCGTTCATAAGTCTCAGTTTACTCTTACCATGTAAAGGTATTTTTCAGCACTATTAGTGCTCATCTTACATTTTGTCTTGCAACCAATATATGAATATTTTTTTAAACCTTTTGGTTTCTGGCAAGGTTTAATTGCTGGTTCCTTGGTGACTTTCATATCTTAATTATATAGTTCCATAGAGGTATAATCTGTTTGCTTTTAAACAATACCCTTCTTTTGCAACAAGGTTCTTTTAAAATAAAAAGTACTTTTATATATAAAAAAGACACCAAAAAACCCATAAAATATAAATATGAAAGAAAAATTCAAAAAAATAGTATTGAATCGCAACATTAAACCAATATAGATTGGTATCTTTTTTTATTCAAGTCATAAGCAGAGAGCAAATCAGCTCAAGAATTTAAAACTAGGATGACATATCCTTTTACTATAAATTTAAGATCATGCTTATACTTCAATATGAAGAATTCTAAATCATGGAAATAACTAAATAGTTTATTTATTTTTTTATGAAAACCCCTTTGTAGATTTGGAATCGCCTAGTCCTGAGAATAAGACAAGAATTTTGGGTGCTGTTAATGTAGCTGCATCATTTTTTTCTAAAAAATTGAATATATTTTTTATAACAGAAGAGCTGACCTTGTAATTAAAAAGCTGAAGGTTCTAAGCTCCTATCCCCAAAGCTTCTGTGCCTATATACTTAGCTCTGCTTTTTATATTGAGTTTTGATAGTTACCACCTAGCTCTCATGAGCAATCTTCTCTCATACCTTTCTTAAATCTCAACATGTATATGAGAAAGGAAACCTTTTACCATATGTTGTTTTTCTGGCAAATTATAAGAAAAAAAAGGACAGCATGGCCATATAGTGATTCGGAAAATAGCCTCTCTCTACTTTTCCTTTGCAGGAAGGTAAATCAGCAAAGGCAAATTTACGTCATAACTTAAATAGAAATTGCCTTTGTTAAAAGAATTGGGAAAATGCCTTTTTACTTTTAAGCACCTACATGTAAAACTCTGCTAAAGAAATAAAAATATAGAACTGTTCAAATCACTAGCAGCATCTTACAAGACATTCCAGTAAATATATAAATATAAATATAAATATATAAATATATAAATATAAATATATAAATATAAATTATATTATCCTTCAGCTTTGTTCGGATATTTTCCCACGTCATTATAGTTGTGCTTTTAAAGTTGTAGCAACGTTTCGGCAGAATCTCATCTGCCATCATCAGGCTTCCATTCATGTAAGTACCCGCGAAAACATATATAAAGAGGGAAATGGCAGCTCCGACACAAAAAAGGTTCAGCAGTTCTTATTTAGAAGCAACTTTTTATCAAAAGAAATTAAACACAGGTTAGCTTTTCTCTATTCTAGAAAATACCTCGGTACCTGTATTAGCTGAGAAATTCTTCCTGCAAATTCTAAAATTATTTTAAGCTCGGAGAGGCATCTGATTTCTCTATTTCCTCTTCCCTTACTCATTTTAGCACACAAGTTATCTATCTCCTACCAGACAAGTTACTAAAGGAATGAATGCTTTTCCACCTATAGAACGCTCACAAAATTATGTGAACCTTTTGAAATGCTATAGATTGCTGTAGCTGGCGTGGGTGGGAGGAGTATTGTTTGTATATTGGTTTTTTATTTTTGTAAGCTGTTCAGAATCACTGAGAATGAATGGACAGCCATATAATTTTTTTAAATAAATAAATTACATTTTTAATCAAGTTTCAAAAAGTTCCAGTGCATATTTGGAAGATATTGATACATAGTTTATTATTCACAGAAAGCCTTATATTTTAGAATATTGCAGCAACATTGAAACATTTGCTCATTAAAACCAGCAAGGTGCACTTTGGTTATCCCATGTAATTTTAGTAACATCTTTCTCAGGAATGAGTTACTTTTTTTCTTATAAAACTGCTTGGGGAAGTAAAGGCATCTTTTTGAGTCTGTATTGGAGAGATGCACAAAAACATATTGATGCAATCAATACATGAGAATCTGGGTCCATTCTCAATTTTCCACATAAATTCTAATGAGTACTGTTGCTTTCTGGAAGAGTGCATCCTTTCTTAAATACTGAAATCTTTATATCATTTTTGTTACAAAAATATAAACAAATTAGCCAATTTGGTGGAGCTAGAAGAGATATTTTGGACATCACTTCCATAAGCAGCTGAATACCTATCTATTTGGATTTCCTAATTGAACTTCATTGATTTTAATAGTTCATTGTAATGAAAGAAATATTGAAAATGCAATTTGTCTATCTTCCTTGGCAGACAGTTTCTTTGCTATTGGGAAACCATACAAGAAATCACAAAGTATAATTTCTTTCTTTTAACAGTCAGTGAATCAAGGTCTGCTGACTTGTGCAAAAATGGGCAAAGTAAGGTAGTCTGTAAAAAAAGAATGTTCTGTAATACCTTGCACCCATGACTTGCACTTAGCCATAGCACATTTGTCCAACACTCTTTGACATGCACTTTTTTTGCGGTGGGTGGGTGGGGATGTTTGAAATAGCACTCATTTCCCATAATATTCTAGACATAGGAAGTTATTGCTAAATAAATACCTTTTTTCTTTATAGTCCATAAATCAATGTTTATGAACCTAAATATTTTAATATCAAATACTGTAATTCTTAATTTCAGTAATTTCCCTTCTCGTGATTGGAATTGGATTAAGTATTCCTTTCATGACTGCACATATAAGGAGCATAGTGACTCACGAAGTTAGAACACTGGGCTGATGATCAGCAGTGCTTGCATTTGAGATCTGTTGCTGCTCTGGGATGGGGTGAGCTCCCATCAATGCTTCAGCTCCTGCTGAACCAGCAATTCAAAAGAGTGTGACAGCGAATAGATTAATGGGTACCACTTCAGTGAGCAACTTCATGGGGACACAAAAGGAGCCCCCAACTGGGCATCCCTCAGGCAATGGTGATGTCATTGGCAAAACCTTTGGTGCTTCCAACACAGAAAATATCACTGCTATTAGCAGCAATTACTTGAAGGATGCCTAATTTAAAGAGAATGAACTGAGCCAAGCCAAATATCTTCATTTATTAATTTACCAGAAAAAATTGGAAAATATACAATGGAAGAGAAACAATAGTTAAGCATAGTCATTATCATTTACCTTTACTTACCTATGGGGCTCCCCTTATTTAGCTCTCCTAAATTCCAATAAAATTGGCTTTGGACTTTTGTTTTCCTCTTTGCCCCAAATAAACTTATACAACCATTCCATGTGTATTCTTTTCTCTTTTTGCAAAATGTTCTCTGAATAATTAACCACATAAAAATAAGCAGAGTATACTTTGTGATGCACTGTGTTCTTTATTGTTAATTGCTAATTTACACGATTAACTGCAATGGTTCAGTCATTCAATAGTGCAAATAATAGTGTTTCTGTTCTGAATGTAGAATTTAGGTAAACCATTTCTTTCTTTGATACTATTTGAAGTTTTTTTCTTTATAAACTAACATAATTCAGGTGACTCCAAATATAATTTTCTCCAAATCTTAGGGTATTTTTATTTTAAGGCGCCTACGTGTATTGTGAGAGGGCATTATGATATTAAAAACATTTATAGGGGGAAGTTCACAAGATAGACTGAAAGCCCATTAATTCAGTGCTTTTATCAAAGCATTCTCAGGTTAATATCCATGAATAATAAAGTGTAACAATATGTAGAAAAATAAGGTTTTGGTAGAATTCAACTGCTATATTGAGAAAATGAATAACAGCAGAATCATACTGCATTTACAGATTTTTTGCAGTTTGATATGTTACAGAAATGTTAATTCTAGGAAATTTATTTTGTGTGTGTACAAAACTGTAAGTTTAATGGAATTTACAATGAGTAATGAATGCATGATACAATGGTAATTTAAAATGTTACTCTATTAAGGAAGCACAGTTTGCTAAAAGTAGCATTTGATATAATTCACATCGATGTTGTAGAATTTGTCATACATTTGCAAATAGCAAATGCCCTCAATACTGCTAAAATAATTTAATGTTTTTATATATATATATAATATTGTACACTTAATGACAAGTAAGACTTAGCCTTTATAAAAACAAATTTTAAAGATGTTTAGGAGCTTCTGGATTTATTGAAGTTAAAAATGGATAAGAATACTGAACACTATTAAAATTCAATTCAATTGTGCAAGCTTTTGTGACTAGTTTCAATAGGGGTCTCTAAATCCATAGCAAAAAAAAAAATCCATGAGCAGAATAATTCACATTACTTTTCATATCCTACTAAATTTCAAATTAATTTATCTTACAAAATTGAGGCATATAACCAATATTGTGGGAAAGCCGGTAAAACACCAGAGAACATGTAAGCAACTTTTATTTATTTTTCTTCAAGATTACCTACTGTTCTCTTGGAGATAACGCAAGATAGTATGTAAACAATTTTTAATGCTGATTGTGAGTTAAAATAGTCTGTTCAGCTTGTTTCTGAGTCAGAACAGTGGCACCAATATCTTAATAATCACATTCATTTTACTGTACATTACCCTTGTGCAAGTATTAAAGGCTTTACCTATGACCACAGCTACATAGATGTAGCAAAGAGGGTTAACAGCTATTACTTTTTAAAGAAATTAAGCTGATAGAATTATATTCTATCACTTCAAAGAGCCAGCAGCATTTTTCTACATAATGAAGATGTATATGGCAAAAGCCTTTTAACACCTTTTATAACAGCCATGCAATAGAAAGAACCTTAGAGATGTTGCATAAATTAGAAGAATACAGCAGTCTGTATATTTCTGAAGTCAAGAATGAAACTCCTGATCCTCTGAATGGCTGTGATGTTTTTTAAGTTTAAAGCTCTATAAAACTAGAGCTGACTATTGTTTGTGTGCGTGTGTACATACATATCTATACATGTATAGATATATACGCACACATTTTAAAATCAAGTCTTTTTCTGTTTCAATTTCATTCTGGCCGATCTCTGAGGGAAAAATAAATAAGTAGAGAAAGTAAAAGTTTTTGCATATCTTTGTATGGAAGAACAGAACTGCTTTTAAAAAAGATTTCCAGAAAAACTGCTGTACAGAAGAGACGGCTTATGTACAACTAACTGCAATTTAGTTGTGCCAGGCTATCTGAAAAAAAACAAAACGAAAGCTTCACTTTGATGAGTCTTACTCTTGTCCAAATCCTTCTGTTTCTTCAATTGCAAAAAGCAACTTTTCTTTCAGCTGTTCATAGCTTTTATAAGGTGGTAAATCTAAACGATTAAAACTGCAGAGAAAAAAGAAAAAACTTTTATTTTCTATTTTTTTTCTATCTTACAAGATCACACCATTAGTTTAATGGTGCAATAACTTATCATTTTACAACTTAAGTACTATCAACTCTCATATTTTAACATTTCTCTCCACTGATCCAACAATATCAAGAAAATTCTGAAATACGTATTACAGATTATCAATTTTCACAGTTTTTATAGCTCAGAAGTATACATTTCTTGGCCAGACAAGCGTAGTGTTATTGACAGATCTTCCTCCACTTATTTGTTCTTGTATTTTTCACTTAGCATGCACTGACAATACATTTTGTCTGGTTGGCTTTAAAAACTCACCTCTTCTACAGAAAAGGGTTGTTTAAATCTATTTCTTAATACCTACACAAAAGAACAACTTTGGTGCAAATTACCATACTATATATCTCTTAATATGACAATGCCTGGCACTTGAAAGAGCTCAGTAGAATACATGCAGCAAAAAAGCAGGTGTGTTATGTTGTTAGAAATCACTTCAGATCTAAGCTGAGTTGTAATTGAAGGGTGGCTAGGTAGCAAAAAAATTCTAGGACTGTAAATGAAAAAAAATGGCAATGGAAACTATTTCCATGTTATTGCTAAATAAACTGGATGTGTCTCTTTAAGAATTGAATTAGACTTCAGCATATCTTACTAGTATGCTAAGTAAATATAACACACACTAGTCCAGTGGTCACCAACCAGTGGGCTGGGGACCACTGATGGTCCATGAGAAAATTTTGGTGGTCCCCAAAGCACCCCTCAAAGCACCCCCCAAAGCAATTAATCCAGCTGCACAGGAACACAAGGCTGCGCCGCCCACATGGCCCGTGAGAACACATGGCTTACGTCACTTGCATTGTGAACAACAGGTAGGGGATGGGAAAAGGATGGAGGGGGGGACTTGCCCCACGCACCTCACCTGGCCACCGGGCTGCTTCTTTCCGCTTCTGCTTTTGGCTGCATGCAAAGAAAGCCACAAAAGTCTTTCTCTCCCCCAAACTCCACCAGAAATGAGTCTTTGGGACCCTGCAAGGCATCCTGCTCCAAGAGGCTGCGCCGGCGCAATAAGTTTCACAAAGACTCATTTCTGGCACAGTTTAGGGGAGAGAAAGAAAGACTTCTGCTTCTGCTACTTTCCTCCCTCCCTCCCTCCCTCTCTCTCTCTCTCTCTCTCTCTCTCTCTCTCTCTGTCCCCCAAGAACGGAGCAGGAGACAGTATCCTGCGATCCCAAATAAAGAATGATCAATCGGTAGGAAAACAGGGTGGGAAATTTTCCTGCAGACTTTTTTTGGGAGTTTCCCAGGGTCTCTGGTCCACGGGATTTAAAATTATGAGTTTGGTGGTCCTTGAGGTCCAAAAGTTGGCAACCCCAGCACTAGTCTATGTGCTGGTATTAATCTGCAGCCAGGGATACCTCAAAAGTGTAGAAAAACTGCATCTTAGATTCTTTGCTTGTTTCCTGCTAAAATAAGTGGGCCATGAATCCTAGAAATTTATTTAATTCAATGGAACTATTCAGCACATGACTAAGTCTGCATTCAGAGCTTCCTGCACATCAGTTTTGTTTCAACTCACCATGTGTGACTTCTTGGTAACCAGGTTTCCTTTCCAACCTTTTCAACACAGAATTTCTGAGGACCATTACTTCCTGAGGAAAAAAACCCAAACTTTTTGTAGTAACCACGAAGAACTTAATGACATTTTAATATTTCAGAAAGTGTAGCTATATAAGTACCAGTTAAGAACTATTTACACTGATTAGTTACCCATGAGCTCTGCAAATCCTCCCAGTGGTAACCGGCAAGTACCAGTGACAAATTGCATCAATCTCATACGGACTTCATTGTCAGCTTCTTTTATGAACTGTAAACACATGTAAAAGTAGTATTCTGAAATAACTGGTAATTAAAAATTATTTTTAATAGAATTTTATCACTATTACAATTACCTTAACTTTTTCTACTAAAATAAAATGCAGGAGAGTTGTGTAACACAAAAACAAAACACATACCCTATCAAACTGAATACCATCAACAACATACCTATACAAAATAAACCTCACATAAAAACAACCTAGAGCCACAGTATATAATGTACTGTCTCACAAAATATCTGCAGAACCAAGTTTATCTTACTATATCATAAGGTTTTTATATTGATCTTTATTTATTTGACCTGTTTTCTAAATTGTTGGGTTGTTTTTAGCATTTTAGATGTCAAGTATGCTGTCCTGTTAAGCAGTAGTATGTGCATGACTCAAACGTTTCTTGTAAAGAGAAATTTACAAGAGAATATTTATTTTAAAACATTTTTAAAGTAAGTCTTTAATGGGCTGACTGGAATTATTTTTTATTCTTATTGCTCAAACAGGTAACTTATTAAAAGTGTTATGTGAAAGATAAAAAAAGCGGGCCCATCCTCACTTTTCATCAGATACCCTCTTGCTAACAAGCACTGACACTATAAATATAATTTACATTTAAGGTATAGATGATGGCAGTCAGACAGGGAAAACTTCGTTTCCCTATTTGTGCCTTCTTAAGTGCATCTTTTCTTCATTCTTTTTTTTTGTTTCCCCTTTGATCTTAATGGTCATTTTAGCAGTTGCAAACTGAAATTCTATTTTTTGTTTTTGGCAGTCAGTCAAGAAGAAAAAGTAAATCAGAAAGTAAATTTTTAAGTATTAGCAGAAGGACACAGTCCAACTTCTTGTCTGCCTGCAAGCCTAGGTTCAGACGCACATGACAGAGATTTACAAGATAATATTTATTTTAAACATTTTTAAAGTAAGTCTTTAATGTGGTGACTGGAATTATTTTTTATTCTTATTGCTCAAACAGGTAACTTATTAAAAGCATTGTGTGAAAGATTTTTTTAAAAGTGGACCCATTGTCACTTTTCATCAGAACAGATATACCCCTATGGCAAATAATTGCTATCAATTAAAGGAAGACCTTAGAAAGCTTCCAAATTTGGCTGCAAAAATCTGGGGGGTCAATAGATGGGCAGCAACGGCTTAAAGTTTTCAGTCTTTGTCAAGATACTTGCAGCACTAAAACCTGTCCTGTATCTAGTGTTTCATAAAGCCAAGTACCTTAATACTGTTTTGGTTTAGGATATGAGATTAGTACAAAATGGCTCAGGAAAACATTTCAAGTTTGAAACAAAATACATGTATGCACGTATACATGTATTCCCCTAATTTTTTACAAGTGCTTTAAATATACACTCTAATTTTGAATGTTTCTGAGATAAAATGATATTAATCCTTATTTCAAAAATCTCTTTTTATAGTTGAAAGGTATAGCCAAGATATTTTTAAAAGATGTCAAGATGACCCCAGAGAAAGCTTTAATTTGGTCATTAGAAAATCACAGCCGAAGTGAAAGTTTTCAACATATTGGAACAGATTTGCAAACATATTCATATGTTCTTTAAGTACAAATAAAATCATTGCTCTGTCCAAATGCTTTCATGTTTGATGTCTTCACTTTGAAAAGAAATTAACATTCAACTCCATCACTACAAAGCAGAATTGGAAGCTTGAAGAAACCCCTTAGCAATCTTTTCACTATGACACCCAGGAGACAGTAAATTGAGAATACAAGATTATTTCAGTGTAGAGGAAAATGGAAAATATCAATTACATTGAACAAACTCACCTAAATCTTTGGAACTTATGGAAATTACTATAATAATCATACATTATGCACATACAAAAAAATTCCTGCAGATATCAGGAATTTAAAATTTTTGGTTTATTTCAGAATTGCTTTTTAAAAAAATCACATGGTCACCAACTTTATTTTTGCTGGTTCTCTGAACAAATAAAAGTATTATACCTGCCAGAACCACATTATTTGTTTGCTATTTCTTGTATAATGGCGATAAACAGTGTTTCTTTGCCAGTCCGCCATATCAACCTCTTGCATACCACAAAGCATAACCTAGAAAAGTTCACAAAATTTAAGATATTAGCTTGAGCCTTTTGAAATACAAATTATAATATTTTTAATATACCATTTTATAGCACTTAAAGATATATCTGCTTTGCTTATTTACTGCATACGGATATAGCTATTTACTTGTATTAATCCTCATTGTAATATTTTAATTTAGAATAATTTTATCCACTACAGCTGAAAAAATCTCACCTCCAGTTCTTTTTCATCAAAATACTGTAGCCATTGAAGAGGAACAACTTCATTGAATCCATCCAAGAAAGCTTTGGTTTGTTCTTGTACTCCTCGTGAAAACCGCCACTCTGCCATTAAGCTAAAACAGAAGGAATGTTATAACTTTGAAAATAACATTCTTTATTTTAAAGCATATAATGTATAACAATTTGAACAAACCCCAAAGACTCCAGCATTTTTTTTTTAAGACTGCATTAATAGCATAGAAAAGAGATTTTCTCCATTACAATTTTTACCTAATCTGGTCCTTCAGGTCTTCCAACAATGTGCTATCTTTCCAACATATTCCATATTAATATTAGTTCATTGCTCAACATAATCTGAGCATTAGCTATAAAAAATTGTAGCCTGAGTTCTAGCTATAAAAACAGAATTCAGGGCACTATGAAAAACTAGGCTACGAAATTTGTATATATTATATACATATATTATATAGAATGGCTATATAGAAGAGCTGCACTCATATATTTGGGCTATTTTATATTTTGGGCAATTCCTTTTTCACAAAGTCTTGGGATAAAGAAAATCCTTTTTTTCTTCACATGGTTGCTAAAGTCCATCACACTTGAAGAAATGCCCAAAATTATACAAAATGGTAGAATTTTTTTATATAGAATACTATGTATAAAAACAAATCTATCTTCCTTTATTTTACTCTATTCCCCCTACCCAATATATTCTTCTTTGTTTTCTTCAGTGACAAGTAAATTTGATCCTCCTGATTTCAGCTCATGTGAAGTAACCTTTCCTAGCAGCTCCATGTCAACACAGAAGTACATTTCTAAATTACATTCTTCTATATTGTTGTCCCTAAGAGAGAAAGGTTAAAAAAAAAGAGATTAACCAAATATGTTCACTTTATTTTGGCACAAAAAACTGTGAACATCCGAAAAGATTTACAAACCTTATCCAAATTAGAGAATTATAAAACTCAGTGTCAATAGATTCCAAATCTTTTATTGTGAGTTTCTTATTTAGCATGCGCTTGTAGAATGGCAGGGAAAACCCAGTATCAATGAATTTGCCATGAAACAATGCCTGTTGAAGATTTAAAAAGTCAGTGTAGTATTTGATATAAACAGTTTTAACTATTAACTAGAAAACTTTTATAGAAAATAGTACATCTGATAAAAACAGTGTACTGTTAACTCAAAATGGATTATTTCTAGCTGTAGGTAGTATGACATATAAGGATTGTGTGTAGAAGAAAGCTTAAGCAGAATAGGAAACAAGAACACTATCCATACTAAAGGAAGCTTTGACAACAATTACCCTGGCAGGTGATATTTCATGTGTAGCTTCAGAATATAGCCATATAGACAGTGTCATGAATGCAACAGGATAATAGCCATGAACTTCACATTCCAAGATTCCCTTAGAGAGCTTCCATGAATGAGAGTACACTAAACACTCTACATAATAATGAAGAGAAAGAAATCTAACCAAAAGAAAATAACCTATAGCAGGTAGAAGGAACTAAAGAAGTCATTTTAAATAATGTGTACTTAAATGTGGTTAAGAGATCTACCCAAGCTCTATCCTAACTTTAGAAAATATATAAATATCTTTGTTTACCCAGAGGACCCATCTAAATCCAATTGTTCCAGTCTGTATTAATAAATCTCAGACTTGTTCCAACAAATAAGTGATTTTTATCTCTTAGGGTGGGGGATAGGGCAACTATATTAGACGTATATCATCTCTGTCCTTCAGGAGCTCAAGGCAGCCTATCTAGTGCCTCCTTCTCCTATTTCCTCTTACAATAACCACCCTCTGAGGTAGACCAACCTGAAAGAGAAGGGCTTAGATTCACTTAGAGAGCTTCCATGAATGAGAGAACACTAAAACCTGCACGTCACTTTAACATTTTTCCCTAATTCATCCACTATTGTATGCCCATTTTAAATTGGAAGTACACTGAAGACACTGAAGAATATGAAGAACTGTTTTATATCACACATAGCAGTCCAATTAGTATGAACGATGTCATCTCAGTTATAAATGATCAAAAAATGTTAACTTATTTTCTGTACTAAGTATATATGGAACCATGCAGATTAGAACATAATTCCCAGTATGCTGCAAATAAAAGCAGAGCACATATATTTCCATAATCAGATACTTTGCCTGGATCTTTCTATTAACTTAATAAAGCGTTAAAACATTTATCATGTTACACTGTTAAAACTTATTGTCATGTTTATTACCATTTATATGGGTAATAATATATACATAAAACTACATAAAATCATGCTTCTCCCCAAATACATACAGATTAATATGTAGTTATGAATACATAAATATACATGATCAAATACTTCCAGAGGAAAAATATTTACATCTTCTTTGATAATTGGATTTATTTACTGTTAGAAAGTAACACTCAGCTAGATACAATTTCTTGTTAACTTATATCAACAACAAAGGATTCAAATACTTGAAATAAACCTTAATATTTAAACTAAGATTTCTCTTCTCAAAAAAAAAACATACCGTATTTTTCAGACTATAAGACGCCTTCCTGACCTCCCCAAAAAAGTGGATGGAAATGTCTGTGCGTCTTATAGAGTGAACATTGCGGCAGGGAGGGGGATGCAGCAACAATAAGCTGTTTTAGGCAGTGCCAATCAACAGCGAACAGGCCGTGGCAGCGGTGAACAGGCTGTGGCATATGGGCAGCGGTGGCGAACCTGCTATTCTATTTCTCCTACTTTTTTTTCAAGTGCTGCTACTTGAACTTTCCAGAAATACATGCCAATTAGCTTTTCAGACAGAAACACAATCATGCCCAAGAACTGCATGTGACTGTTCTGTTCATCATGTTTGTTTCTTAAGGTATTATTAACCAATAAAAAATCTGTTTTCTTTTTGTCAATAAATGCCTTATATTGTCTCTGGGGTAGATCAATGTATGGAATCTGATAATACTTTCCTTAATTAAAAAGACAAAAATCAGAAAAAGATTTTTAAAAAGACAATCTATTAAGATTTGTTAAAGAAGGCATTGACAACAGGTCCATCTGCTCTTTTACATATTTTCCTTCTTTTGTTAAAGCTTTTTTAGGATGCTTTCCAGTAAGATGGATGGGTTTATGCTTCAAATTGGAAGAAAGTTGATAGCAACATTTTCCTTCCATATCTCTATAGAAATCTGATACTTTTTTCATTCTTCATCATGAAGAATTACTTAATATAGTAGTAAGTCAAGTACTTAACTGAGGATTTCTTTCCCTCTCTATATAATCATAATTTATATTTTTCATGCTTATCTTGCCAAACAAAACACTGCTCTTTGAGGAGCTTGTAGTCTAATAAATATATGCATGGTATGAATATTTACCATGTGTGTCACAATTTTTCCATTTTAGCATAGTTTTCTTAATTGTCAGTGTAGTTGCCTGCTTTTCAAATTATTCCAAAATTTGTAATAATTAGAGCATATTCTCCTCAGATTTTTAACACTATAATTTTATCGAAATTTCACTGTCATTTTCAATATGTGATGTGAAATGATTATATATTTTAAAGATGGGTTTTTAGCTCTGAACATAGCTATGAATTTTATCCTCTTTCCCTTTGCCAGAATGTCTTTATGTCAAAGCTGCAATCCTAAATTCTTAATTAGAATAAATATCACTGAATTCATAGAACTTACAGTAGTTCTGACCAGATAGATTCAAGATTGCAATTACATTCACCCCATGTAATTAAAACCATTTGTGAAGAAAGACAACCACACTCAGAAGTAGAGCTGTGCAAATCCTTTGAAAAGAGTACTTTGGTATATGTGGGAACACTATAAAACCATTTTTTTTAAACAATTATTAAAGCAGCTAAATCTTTTTGGATTTATGTGGTGCTTTAACAGTTATTTCTAATTGTCTCTACATACACAGAATTTAGAGATGGCCAGAAATAGCTGCCAAAGAAACAGTATAAATGTAGAAAAAGATACGATCATTTCAACAAGTCCAAGACATGTTTCAAATATGTAGCATATTATAAGCACCTCCTTTGAAGAATCTGCACAGCCACACTATTCATCAGTCATAATCTCTTTAGTTGGCTGACACTAAATTCTGACATCTTCCACATGATAAAGGAACAATTCCTGAAATAGAAGACCGGTTCTACTGTATTTTTCGGAGTATAAGACACTCCGAAGTATAAGACGCACCTAGCTTTTGGGGAGGGGAAAAAAATCTGCCTCTACCCCCCAGCAATTTGCCTCCTTGCAGCAAACAGCAAATAGCCTATTTCAGTTTCAGTATAGCCTGATTAGCACAAGCAGCTGATTGTCGGTTGGATTGGCCTCCCTACGGCCAGCTGTTTCAGGCTGCAGGGATTGCCATTGCCTATTGCTGCCTCCTTGCACCCCATTTTCCGCCCGTTCCAAGCAGCGGGGATTGGAATGGGCAGAAAATGGGGCATGCAGATGCTGGAAACGGGGCGCAGGAGACCAAAAATGAGGCATGCAAAGGCGGCAACAGGCTATGGTAATCCCTGCAGCCTGAAACAGCTGGTCGTGGGGAGGCCAATCCAACTGATAACCAGCTGTTTGTGCTGAAACTGAAACAGGCTGTTTGCTGTTTGCTGCAGTAAGACAAATTTCTGGAAAACAGAGGCCAAAAGATGGAAGCCGGCGGGTGGGTGGGGCTTCAGTAACATTCACTGTATAAGATGCACAGACATTTCCACCCACTTTTAGGGATGGAAAAAGTGTGTCTTATACTCTGAAAAATACGGTACTTGTAGAGCTAATTTAACATGATTTAATTGTATTTATGCAGAGTTCTAAATATCTCTATTGCAGATATTCATTCTTACATGTGTAGCCAATATAGCCAACTTATTGAGAATTAAAATTTCTGTGCCTGCTTAGCACATCATGCTTCTATTTTCAGAAACGTTTTTGCTATATACTTTGCCTAGATGATTACACTAGTTTAGACATTAACGTGTACATGTATTCCCTTTATTTCTAATTCATGTTATCTGCCATTGTTAGGCAATCAGTAAATGGTTCTCTCTTGATATTAAACAATATATGCCATTACTTAAAAAATCAATTACCATATTTTTTGCACTATAAGACGCTCCAGACCATAAAACGCACCTAGCTTTGGGGGAGGAAAACAAGAAAAAAAAATCTGCCTCTGCCTCCCAGCAATTTGCCTCCTTGCAGCAAACAGCCTGATCAGCTTCAGCACAGACCGATTTAGCACGAGCAGCTGATTGACAGTTGGATTGGCCTCCCAGAATACTGCCGATCAGCTGTTCCAGGCTGCATTGATTGCTGCCGCACATTGCCGCCCATTACTGGCGCCGCCTATCGCCGCCTCTGAACACCCGATTGGCCTCCGCACATCCCGTTTTCAGCCTCCGTGCACCCCATTTTCAGCCTCCATGCATCCCATTTTCAGCCTGTTCCAGGCAGTGGGGATTGCCATGATCACCACCACCTGAAACAAGCTGAAAACAGGACATGCGGAGGCCAAAATTTGGGTGTGCAGAGGCGGTGGCGATGGGGGGGCGGCAATCCCCGCAGCCTGGAACAGCTGATCGGTGGTATTCCAGGAGGCTGATCTAACTGCCAATCAGCTGCTCGTGCAAAATCAGGCTGTGCTGAAGCTGACCAGTTTGTTTGCTGTTTGCTTCAAGAAGGCAAATTGCTGGGAGACAGAAACCGAAGCGTGGAGACTAGTGGGTGGGCGGGGCTTCAGCAACATTCACTCTATAAGACGCACAGACATTTCCAGCCACTTTTTTTGGGGGGGAGTGTGTCTTATAGTACGAAAGGTATAGTAAGAAGTACTCCAATGAGGAAAAGTGCACCAGTTCTTTTTCATGTACTTATTTATAATTATTCTACTGAACAATGTTGGTGGCAAATAGAATTAATTCTCAATATGATAGCCATATACACTTGCATGCTAAATATTTCAGAAAATAAAACAGTAATCACCCTTACCATAGCAATAAATCGTCCAATGAAACAGAAATATGAAAGATGATCTGGATTTATTGTTGATGCTGGATTTATCTGTAAACAGTAGTTACTCTTGCCAGCGTATTCAAAGAGACAATACATAGGGTTCAGCACTTCATGTGATAGCAAGAAGAACCATTCTCTATTTAAAAATATAATGAATAATCAAACATGGTTATCTCCAAATGTTGCAAATATTGACATAAAAATTTGAGGAACATTTTAAGCAGATACGATAGTCTGTTTATTTTAAGATGTTGTGAAAAAGGAACAGGAAATTATAGCACAACAAAGTTTGGTTCAAATGAACTTTGAATTAATTTAAAGCTTTAATAATACTATGAAATATTATGTGAGTTCACCTAACTGTAATTAGTTGGGAAGTTAATACTGGCATTGCTAAGTTATCTTTGAAAAACAATATAAGTCATCTCACAATGCTTTTTTTTTTTAATTAAATGTTATTGGTTAGATATATAGAATTTATATAATTATATAATAAAATTATAAATTACAGGTAGTTCTCAACTTACAACCAGAACTGAGCCCAAAATTTATTTTGCTAAGTGAGACATTGTGAATTTTGCCCCATTTTACAACCTTGCTTGTCACAGTTGTTAAGTGAATCACTGCAGCTATCATGTTACAGCCAGTAACATAGTTGTTAAACAAATCTGGCTTCCCCATGGCTTTTGCTTGTAAGGAGGTTGCAAAAGGTGGTTACGTGACCCCGGGACTGGGCAGCCGTCATAAATATGAACCAGTTGCCAAGCATCTGAATTTTGATCACAACTGTGGGGATGCTGCAACATCGTAAATGTGAAAAATGGTCACAAGTCAGTTTTTTCAATGCTGTTATAACTTCAAACTCACTAAATAAACTGTTGTAAGTTGAGGACTATCTGTAATGTATACATAATTTATTTCAACAAAATCGTATTAATAGATGAAATAAACATACAAAGTAATATATACACATGCACAATCCATATAGTAATAATTTGATAATATGGGTTGAATCTTCTTAAAATTAAATCTACATAATTAAATCTAGATTTTGTTCCCTCTCTTATTTTTGGGATGTAAAGGTTTTTCAAAACTGGTAACAAGCACATATCTTCATCCACTGCTTAACATAAGGAAAATATTAAGCCCTGGTGGCACATTAATTAAAATGCTGTATTGCAGGTAAACTCTGTCCACAGCCAGGACTTGGATCCTGACGGGGCTCAAGGTTGACTCATCCTTCTGAGGTTGGTAAATTGAGGACCCAGACCGTTGGGGGTAATATGAAAATAATACTTACTTTGTAAACCACCTAGAGAATGCTGTCAATTGCTACGGGTGGGTATATAAGACTAAATGCTATTGCTACCTCTTTACTGAACTCCAGGCTCAAAGATCAGACAGAGATTTAACTTTTTATCTGATAAATTTAATAAAGTTTATTTATAATTTTATCAATGGTAGACTCTAAGCATAGGAAAACCAATTAACAAGCACTGGGTGAAAAATATTAGTA